ATCCAAGGCCCGGGAGGGCAATTACAAGCCTCAGGGACGACTCGTTGTAGAAATTGCAAGAGGAACCACCTGGGAAAATGTCGTGACCCTCCCAGATGCTACCAATGTGGGAACACCGGGTACATGAAGATGAATTGCCCACAACTGGGTGGGACAAGAGCCTCAGGACCAAGTAATGCTACTACCGGGGCATGGAATCAAGTTGGGGCTTCCCAAGCATCTAGGGGACAAGGAGGAGCAAGCGCGAGTAACGCGCCATCCGTGAACCAGGGAAGGACTCAAGCCAGAGTCTATGCGATGACGGAGGCAGATGCTCAAGCTAACCCAGACTCTGTCGCAGGTATTACATCAATTTTGAATGTCTTTAGACTTATTTTGGGTGAGGGGAGCTGTGGGGGTTGGGTACAGGTCATCCCGGGGGGCGGACCAGGGGGTTTCGCATGGTGCGGGCAAGGTTTTTCCCACGCACGTCCGGACGCATGTGTGCGTGCCTCCGTGCGTGGGTGGCAGTAGCCATCCGGTGAAAAATTTTCATGCACACACGCGTTTGTCCCCCCACGCACGCGTGCGTGGCACCCAGACTGCCCGACGTTGATTTTTTCGCACCGAATTGCGACGTTAAGGCCTCTCCTTGATCCCAAACATGTGTATGAGCATAATAAACCACTATAAATGTATATAGATGGTAGGAAGGCATCTTAAATGGCTTATAAATGTAGGAACACTAAAGATTAATGGGAAGGATGCGTGAATCCTTATCGATACCGGGGCGCAACATTCATTCGTGAGTGAGGCGTTTGCCAAAGGCTTAGGGATACATTCGATACCGATGATACAAACTATAGTGGTATCAACACCACTAGGGGATGACGTTGAGAGAACTTGTTATTATCCATCTTGTGAGGTGGAAGTCGGTGGCCAAATCTTGATGTGTGATTTCGTACCGCTGAGCATGATTGATTTTGATGCGATCCTAGGAATGGATTGACTAGAAAAGCATCATGCTAGGGTAGATTGCTACACAAAGGTTCTAGAACTCGAAGGCAATGATGGGAATGCCCTATGCTTCGAGGGTGATGGAGGTAAGTCATATAGTTGCATCATATCCGCCGTGAGAGCGAGGAGTATGATGAGAAAGGGATGCCACACATATCTAGCATACGTGGTGGACAAAACTAAGGAGGAACCGAACCTCGACGATGTAAGGTTGGTTTGTAAGTACCCGGATGTCTTCCCTAAAGACCTACCGGGGCTTCCACCCGATAGAGAGATTGAATTTGTGATCGAGGTTGAGCCCGGCACCAAACCAATCTCTATACCACCGTACCGAATGGCGCCTGCGGATTTGAATGAGTTGAAAACCTAATTGCAAGAGCTATTGGATAACGGTTTCATTAGACCGAGCTATTCACCGTGGGGAGCACCAGTCCTTTTTGTGAAAAAGAAGGATGGGACTCTACGTATGTGAATCGACTATCGACAATTGAACAAGGTCACCATCAAGAATATGTACCCTTTACCTAGGATCGATGACTTGTTTGACCAGCTCCGAGGGGCAACGGTATTCTCAAAGATTGACTTGAGGTCAGGGTATCACCAACTGAAGATCAAAGAGAGCAACATACCGAAGAGTGCCTTCCGTACAAGGTATGGTCACTTTGAGTTCTTGGTAATGTCATTTGGGTTAACTAATGCTCCGGTGGCATTCTTGGACTTGATGAACCGAGTTTTTCATAAGTACTTGGATCAGTTTGTAATCGTGTTCATAGATGACATCCTAATTTACTCAAGAAATGAGGAGGAGCACGAGAAACATTTGGTTCTAGTTCTTGAAACACTACGAGAGAAGCAGCTCTATGCCCAATTCTCTAAATGTGAGTTTTGGCTTAAGGAGATCGGCTTTCTCGGGCACGTGGTTTCGGAATCAGGAATTTCTGTGGACAACAAGAAGATTGAGGCCAACACAGAATGGGAAAGACCTAAGAACGTGAAGGAGATTCGTAGTTTCCTTGGACTAGCGGGCTACTATAGAAAGTTTGTGAAGAAATTCTCAGTTTTGGCATCACCATTGACGAAGCTCACTCGAAAGGGAGCAAAGTTCATATGGGATGACCGATATGAGAAAGGATTCTTAGAACTGAAGAAAAGGTTAACTGAGGCACCGGTACTCGCCTTACCGAAACAAGGTATAGGGTACGATGTCTACAACGATGCGAGCATCCAAGGGCTTGGATGTGTATTGATGCATAATGGGAGGGTGATTGCCTACGCTTCACGACAGTTGAAGAAGCATGAGGTGAATTATCCTACTCATGACTTAGAATTGGGAGCAGTGCTCTTTGCACTAAAGATATGGAGGCATTATCTCTACGGAGAGACATGTCATATATACACTGACCACAAGAGTTTGAAGTATGTGTTTACTCAGAAAGAGCTAAACATGAGACAACAACGGTGGATGGAATTGATAAAGGACTACCACCTAGTGATTGATTACCATCTGGGGAAATCAAATGTCGTGGCTGATGCCCTTAGTCGGAAGAGTTCATCGGGGGCATTGATAACCAACTTGAGGGCATTGAGAGCCCAATTGGAAGTATCAACTAATGGTGCCTTGGTGGCGAGATTTGAAGTGAGACCTACCTTACTTGATGAGATCAAGAAGGGGCAGGAGCTGGATGATGAGCTCAAGAAGGTCCGAGAACGCATGCTAGTGGGGCCGGTAGAGGATTTTCGTGAAAGAGATGATGGTCTCTTGTTATTCCGTGATCGAGTGTGCGTACCGCCGAATGATGAGCTCCGAAAGTCCATTCTAGAGGAGGCTCATTCCTCGGCGTATGCTATGCACCCGGGAGGCACGAAGATGTACTGGGACCTGAAAGAAAGCTACTGGTGGTCTGGTATGAAGAGGGAAATAGCAAAATACATAAGTCGATGCCTTACTTGTCAGCAAGTTAAGGCGGAACATCAACATCCAGCGGGCTTATTGCAGCCACTTTCCATCCCTGAATGGAAGTGGGAACATGTGACTATGGATTTCGTGGTAGGCTTACCACGGACGATCAGGAACTATGATGCAGTTTGGGTTGTTGTTGATAGGCTCACGAAGAGTGCACACTTTCTACCTATCAACACCACTTACCCACTCGAGAGGTTATCCAAATTGTATACGGACGAGATCGTGAGGTTACATGGTGTTCCGGTGACCATCGTATTCGATAGAGACCCACGATTCACGTCACGTTTTTGGCCAAAATTTCAAGAGTCTATGGGAACAAGGTTGAAGTTCAGTACTGCATTCCATCCACAGACGGATGGGCAGTCTCAAAGGGTTATTCAGATCTTAGAAGATATGTTGAGGGCTTGTGCATTGGAGTTCCAAGGGAGTTGGGACAATCACTTAGCACTTGTGGAGTTTGCCTATAACAACAGTTATCAGGCAAGTATCGGCATGCCTCCATACGAAGCATTGTATGGGAGGAGGTGTCGTACACCGTTATGCTGGGACGAGGTTGGCGTGGCCAAACTCGAGAGTACTGAATTGGTTGAGATCACCAAGTCAAAGGTGAAGTTGATTCGAGAGAGACTCAAAGCAGCTCAGGATAGACAGAAGAGTTATGCAGATAAGCGACGAAGAACCTTAGAGTTTAAGGTTAATGATGAGGTATTCCTGAAGGTTTCTCTTTGGAAAGGGATCATTCGATTCCAAAGCCGAACGAAGCTTAATCCACGCTACATCGGGCCATTCGAAATTCTGGAGAGAATTGGGGTCGAAGCATATCGTCTACAGTTGACTCCAGAGTTGGAGAAGATACACAATGTGTTTCATGTATCTATGCTGAAGAAGTATGTACATGATCCTTCTCATGTATTGGAAAAGCTGCCGGTGGAAATACGGGAGGATTTGAACTACGCCGTACAACCGGTCAAGATCACCGATAGAAAGGTAAAGAAATTGAGGAGTAAAAAGGTTCCAATGGTTAAAGTCCTTTGGAAAAGTGACCGTGTTGAAGAGGAGACTTGGGAAACAGAAGCTTTGATGAGAGAGCAATACGCCTTCCTATTTGAGTAGCACCATTAATTTCGGGAAAGAAATTCCTGTTAAGGGGGGGTGAACTTGTGACACCGCACCCGAACGTCCTGGAAATTTAAATTTTACTTTCAAAGCTTATGTATTGAATTTCCCTATTTTCGAACAATTGTAAACCGATTAAAGTTTTACGGGACGTATGATTAATCATATTACTATTTAGGCTCATATAATGGTAATGGACTTCTAAATAATTAATTGGGCCATATTATTGATATTGGGGTTCAACATCCTTAAATAAAGATACGCAACCCCTCGGTACAATGTAAGTGCGATCGGGCAGCCCAAATGTTATTTTCGGCCTAACCTGTTAAAACTAGTAATTATTCAAGAATGGCTTCCTAGACCCATTGGAGGGTGACCCACACGGTTGGTAGCCCAGATATATAAATATTAATATCATAATTGAATGATGGAATGATTGGAGAAGAATACAAATGTCTATGGTTCCATCTTTGGCATTATTAGTCTAAATAATGGGAGTAGGGTTTTCTTTTGTAATTATACATCAAAAATATTATTGGGACCACCCTACACGTATTAGAGACCAATAATATGATGTAGGAGGTTGTCTTGATCTAAATAAATTGGGGAGAGTACAAAAGTACATCTTATGACAAAGGACAAAAATGATAGGACCCATCTTTCCACTTTTGGATGTATTGGTAGATATTTTGCTCCCAAATTAATTAGGGGACATGAGAGTACGCCTCACACCTTCCTAGAACCTTCAAAACAAGTAGAATAAGTTAGAGCTCATAAATGTGGCGGACCTATTGAGTTGATAGCTGAAACAATACAAAAGAGAAATAAAAGAGGAGGATCATCCCATGTTTGATTGAGATCAAATACCCTATCTTTTTTTTTTGAGAACACCTCCCCTCACCCCTCATTCGAAATCCAAAGATAAGGAAGAGAGAGGAGCCACACAACCTAAGAAAAAGAAGAAGAAGGAGAGCTGGCCGCAGGAGTTTTCCAGGTGCGTAGGCCTCCTTGTTCGACTCCTAACTTGAGTTCCACTAATCCAATTAAAACGTGTGAGGTGCCCACTGAAATCTCTCGAGAAGAGGAATCCATAGGTGTACGGTTTGAAGGAAACGGAGCAGATTAAGGCCTCCAAATCGTCCGAACACAACGAAACCTTGAAGAATACGTGTGTGGTATTCAAAGTAAGTTTGAATCCAAAACCTTCCTTTCTATTGCCAAAATCCTTTGAATGGTTGAAGAACTATTATAAACTGGTTTAAGTGTATAAAATGTTATTATATAATAATTTTTATTGTTGGAAAGGTTAGATACTAACCTAGACAAAACCTTGAAAGGTTAGGGAACGAATTCGCCGGAAAACACCCGTTCTAGGGACTGTTTTCGTGTTGACGTTTAGGGGTTGAGATAGCACTGTGAGGAGGATGTTTAACACTCATTTTTAAGCAAGGAATCATTTCTTAATCCACCTTGGCCGAAGCTTTGACCATTGGATCAAGAAGGAGAAATTTAAAGCGCATTTAAGGTGAGGATCGACATCTAGTTGCTTACAACTTGTAGGTTAAGCATACCTAAATGCCTAAATCATGTTTTTCATGGATTTTAATGACTGATTATTGATGAAATATTGATATATTAAATAAGTAATGAAATTTCAAATGATTTGGAAATCATATTGATAAAAAATGGAGTTAAATGAACTATTGTGTGAAATAGGCATTTTTACTCATGTGTGAATTGTGTAGATACATAAATGATTATTTATGTATTACATTGGATAACTAAGTTGCTGCTACATATTTCTAAATATGTAGGGATTTAAAAATGAAATATATGATTGATGGGAATAATCTTAATAGTATTGGAATACTAGTTAATGATTGTTTGTAATTGTTAAGAAATTTAATCTAAGGATTTGATTGTAAGTGATATACTTGATTGTGGTACAAGTGATTAAATTGTTGTAATGTGATGCTAAGATCATGATGAGCTAGTCCGTAAGGATGTACCGAAATAGATTATTGATATTACAACTCTAGGCATAGCGAGTGCTTAGGAATTGGGGTCTATGCCAATGCAAGGAGATGTACTTAAGCCTGATGCTCTAGAATTGCATTGGATAGACTTAAGGATTTGGTTCAGCCATGTAAGGAGATGTACTTGAGCCCGATGCTCTAGAATTGCATGGGTGAACATGACGTCGGAGATTGGTGGAGTAATTGACTTGTGATTGATGTGCATGGTGATGTAGTCAAGTTGGACTTGAGAAATGCAAACATGTGTGTTAGGGTTGAACCCTATGTATTGTCGTGACTAGGGGTCACAGGGTTTGGGTTATGTTTTGTAAACGAACTTTGGGCCATGGGCCGACTACTTGACTTTATATATAAAGTAAGTATATTTTAAAAAGGGGTAACTTGGGGTTACGGCCTAGAATTATATTATCACCTTATTTGAGGGTCTTGTGATTGAAATACTTGTTGTATATCTATTAGATGCCATCCACACCAGTACTTTATAGCCGTATAGAGTACTGACCCCCTTTCGAGGGAGCATCCCACCACCATTTCAGGTTAAGGCTAGAGCTTGCTACCTTTGCTTATTGATTGGGAGATTCTCTCGGAGGGAAGACTTGGTTCGTGCTTCCTCCATTCTGTTTTTAAACATTTGAAAAATGCTCATGGATATTGTTTTTCATTATGGAGCCTGTGTCCTCATGTTTGCCCCGTGTTGCACTTGTTTTCAAACTATGATTTCCGCTGCGTATTCAATTACTAATTATGTATGTTTATGGATGACTAATGTGTGAATGATATTCGAGACGCCTTGTATAATATGGATGAGTTAGACTGCGGTTGACTATTCATATTGTATGGCGGATTGTTGACGTGTCCGGATAGGTCCGGGGCGTGACACCTTGAGGGTCAAAACGTTAGTTTTCCGACAAACTTTGTAAATCACTGATGTCCAGGTCAAAACTCAGGCAAATCTGATCAAATTCTTTCAAAGTCAAACCTAAGATCAAATTTTTTCTAAGCACCACTCTAGAGGTTCGAAAATCGTAGATAATTCAATCAAACTCGCGTCAATGGTCATTCTTCAACAATCAACAATCAACCACTGAAGCCTCCCCTAACTCATCAACATTGTGTGATCCTCAAACATGCTGAAATTCCAAATGATGAGCTTAGGGAACCGTCATGTGTGGTACTTGTTCAGATTGCTCCACACACATGGCAGGTATGACGAGCTGTGAGCAATCAAACCTTGCACATTATGAGGGAGAGTTTCAATTTTCTCCTCCTAGCTCCTTACACCGACAATGCAAGGAATCTCTCAACGGATGCAACATTTTAGGGGGAGTGTTCAATGTTATCCTCCCTGGTGCCTAACAATGACAAAGCATACCGAGTGCTCCAGTTGAGGGGGAGTACAGAGAGAAACAAAAATAAATGAGAGAGAAGTTCCAATGGCTTAGTAAACCCAACTAAGCCTACCCAAGGGACAAAGCCGAAAGTAAGTGAGTGAGTGAGTGAACATTATGAACGTTAGGAAGCAGAAGGCTCAAGTGAGCAAGAATACAATAATCAATGATAAGTCTGCTACCTCAACTGCCTGCTATCCATTGAACATTTACTCCTAGCCACTCAAATACTCTGGAAAATTCCCAAATAGGTTCAGGACTGATTTAATCAGATCACGGGTAGAATTCACTGCATCTTGTCCAATAGTGCATGATTGAACCCTACCCAAGACCACTCACTTGTCTCCCAACAGACAGGTGTTTAATCATACTTCACGGGGAACCACACATTACTATCTCCTTCCGAGGCAAGTGATACTGACTATAGTGGCCTCAGCCCTATGCCACTGAACTTTCATTGTTCACGTCGTGTCTAGTTACTCACTCCCAAATGTTTTGAAATTTTCTAGGACACAGATGCACTTTTTAAGTCAGTTGCAGGTCTACATGAGCCGCGAGAACTTCCATAGGGCTCATCTATTACAGATGTAGACCAATGATTGGAAGGAAGTCCTGCTGTTGCAACATAAGAATCACCAACATTTTCAGGCCATTGCTATAGATTTTATCTATATAGTGATGATAACGTGCGTCTACATGACCCCGGGGGGCTACGTTATCTTCTTTACATTCTGCTTGTTTTTCCTGTTTTATTTCTGCAGAATAAAAGAATAAAGGCATGACGCCCTGATTCATCGGACCGTCATGAGGGGGAGAGTGTTCCACATGTTGTTTAACTCTCAAAAAATCATTCTCGGACACTTCCCTCCTCCAACACTCTCTCTACTATATCCGCAACTCAAATGGTCAGCTATGCTCACAAGTCAACCATCATTATGTTCCGCTGTGCCATAGACAAGTTCTCCTCAAGTGCATTCATTCCAAATAATCAACAAGACTACATTGTGGAGGAGACAGAGGTCAAATACTCGTGTCCTGAAGATGAACCCAGTGCGTCCCTGATAATCATCAGAACATTCATTCTAGAGGCATCACCGGACTTCATCCAAGCTGATCGAGAGCAACTTCTGAAAGGCAAGGATTACAAGAAAAAGATTCCTCAAACCCCGGCATCAAAAATCAAACTTCCAAGAAAACATCAAAGGGGAGATTGCGAGGATTTCTTCATAAAGCTTTCTTAAGAAGTCAAGTTTAAAGACAAAGGAAGCTCAATAACAATAAAGACAAAGATATCCATGTTGCAATGCTGATTCAACACGATTGAACACCAAGGGGGAGATTGTTAGGAATATTTTATGGTGTCCAATCTAATTAAATATCTTTGTATTTGTGTAGTTATTAATTAAATGTGTAATACGGGCCAAAAATGTGTATCAGCCCGTTAGCTTCTTCGTAACTCGTAAGTTAGTCAACTTCTCCTATAAAAGGAGGCTGATGTGAATAGATTTCTAAAAAACTTTTCTTTTCAACCCTTTTTCCTCGAACAAAATGTGTTCCAAAAATATTGAAACATACAACGGAAGTCTTGACCTCAAGAGTGTGACACTTTATAAGAACAAAAGTTATGACTCCTTTAGTTGTAACAGAGATGGGTGGACAGAACACTTTTGTGTGAAGGATTTAGACCTATTGTCATAGATCTCTTTGTAGTGCGTAGGTAAGGAGTTTTTGGTTCACAGATAAACTTTAGGGAGTTTTCTGGTTAGTGAATATGCAAGCCTTTGGGATAGTATGAAGGTGAGTGAGAACTGAAGTATGTGTTGGGTGCTGAATATAAAAGGTACACAAGATATATCCTGGTTCAGAGGTGGTGTAATCCTCCTACATCCAGTCTCAACCTATTTCAGATGGATATCCCATTACATTTAGTGCCCAATCTACCCCTGGCCCGGGCGTAGATTGTGAGGTTTTTCACGAGGAACCACACTGTTCCAAGCTACTCATGTCCTCCAAGGTTTTTCACCAATGATTTGCCCAGCCAGAAGCTACTCATGTCCTTGCCTCACCTTCTGGATGATCACACACATCCCAGAATGTATACACTAGACTACTTTACATGGGTTTAAACTAATCTACCAACTAATCTAAGCTCTATAGATGTGTATGAATGATAAGTTATTCTAATAGCGTTAGATGAGTGGGGTGGTAGCCAGAGTGGTGAAGGTGAATCAACTAGTTGGATGTTTTCTTGTAAACCTTGATTCCTTTCTTTTCCACTTAGTTCCAATATACCAGTGTTTGTTGCCATCTGGTGCCACACTTGGTCTTCCCGCACTCCTTCTGTATTTATAGACTTTGTTGTTGAATCTCCTCCGTTGGCTTAGTGATCCAATCTTGATCGTTTCTTGATTTACTTGCTTTGTTCCACTTGACTGGGCAGCATGGTTGATTCTTGTCTTCTTGTGACACGGATCATTTTATCTTCACTCAACTTGATCCCTCATTTCAAGGCAAAGATAAGATGATTTATCTTTATCTTTTTAGCTTTCAGAAATTCAGTATCTAGGCTGAGTTTTGTTCAATGCATTCCTCAAGATAAGATTACTTTCTTTTAGTAAATAATGTTATAAGAAATTTTGTCACATAATTTCTTGTAACATTATTTTCTATGCATTCTGTCATTCTGACTGCAAGCTGGTCTTCTGTCTTTTTGTTTCTGTGCTAAGAGAAGAACAACAGATGTTGAGATTCCGGTCAGAATACCTCAATAGAATACCTTACCAGAATACCTATGAGGTCTTCTATTCTGGTGTCAACAGAGAACTACCTTAGTTTGAGGTTCTCTGTTACGATCATGACATAAGGTCTTCTGGTATATATCAGAGACCTTAACTTTGATGTTTACCAGAGTTGATCAGTTCTGATGTCCATCAGAGTTGAGGTTCTCTGTTATGACCAGAAGGTCATTGAAGGTTTTCTGATTAGTTTATTCAAAAGGGTTTCTGTTGACTCTTTTCGTACCTTCTTCTTTTTGTTTCTTTTCTCTTTGTTTTATGGTACGTTTCTTCTCTTTTTAGTACTCTCTGTTTTTCTTGAGTACTTTATCACTTTTGAGCACATTACAATAAACAGTAGTAGAACAAATACAAGTGCTAGTCTATTACACAGATATTATACAAAAAGGGGTGGCATCATCAAAACAATACTTGTTCTTCAAAATCTAGGGGACCTAACAGAGGCTAACTTATGGGAACCCTAACAATTGAGGCTTTAGAGAATAGAGGAGCAGAGATAGAGAAATTAGGTTTCCGCTGCTCTCTCTCTCTCTCTCTCTCTCTCTCTCTCTCTCTCTCGAGGGAGAGCAACGACGTTCTACACGGTATACCAGATTCGTTGAATATCTCATATCTTTCTATCTGCTTCTTCTTCTTTATCTGCTATGATTGTGTGATTGTTACTATTATGGGTCTATCAAAAATCTTCAGTGGAAACTCCACATGCAACACGGTTCTTATTTATATCTATATTAAACTTTATTGTATACCCAGAACATTTCTTTGTTGATGAAAAAATACATATGTGACAATTCAATTTCTATTATTTTACCTACAACACCATGAAGATCTCAAAATGATTAAAACTATTACTCATACTAACAAGGTGCACCTTTAATTTTTAAGATGCTCATCTACTAGAATTCTAAGAATTTTCCCAGAGCACTGTGAGGACAGTATGTGTTCAGACTGCATCAAGAAGTAACAACTCTAGCCCCTGCGTAGTCGGGTGTTAGTGTTTTATAGTATCAATCTAACCTATATACATATATCTAATTTGTCATTCACTACTCATTAATTTAAACATGTACTCTACAAATGTGAATATGTATAATGTGTACCAACATTAGTATTACACCTTCAAGAAACGTGAATAACGTATTAGTGTCATCTACTTAAATCAAGTATATATATTTAAACTAGTCTTTCACCCGTGCGTTCAATGTTCTAAAAGGCGTAAGGTGTGCCAAGGCGGCACGCTCAAGCCTTAAGCCTTTGAAGCCTAGGCGGGTTTAGGCGGGGTTAAGGCGTGAAAAGGCGTTTGGATATTTTATCCATTATTTTGATTTTCCTAGGGATATTTTAAAATATTTAAAATTAATATTAAATAGCTTTAGAGAGAAATTACTACATAGCCTAAAAAATAGGCTAGATTAAGTTGATAACCCCTATTATTTATTTTAATAAAGATTATGACACTTTAGTGATTAGTATATAAAATGTGATGAAGTCAAATACAAGATCCCATCATAGTTCTTAATAAAATATGTTTTGATTTCACATTAAATTTTATGAATTTTGATGTTATTAGTAAGCATACATAGCTGATAAGTTTATAGAAAAATAAAAAGTTATATATTTAATTTATATAAATATATGTAACAATAACTTAAATGTACATACTAAAAATGTATATACACCCAATTATTTCATAACTTTATTCAAGAACATTATACTATCCTAAATTTCAACATAATTAGTCCTAAATCTAACAAATATAAATTTACCTAGTACACAAAGAATAGAATTGGAAAAAGCAGTTAAATGATAAACTATTAATATTATTAAAAAATAGTGATGATAAGATAATAATGATAATAATACAATAAAATAATATAATAATTAGTATGGAGTGGAGTGGATGTTAACTTTAGATTATATACTCATAAATAGTACGTATGTAGTATAATGATAAAGTACGAAGTATAAAATATACTTCAGATAATAATAATAAAACATAAAGATATGTTTTTTCACCCCCAAAACATAAAGTTGACTGAATTGCAGCTGTGTTAGTCGACGCATGCCTTTTCATTCAATTTCCCACACCGGAAGCAGTAGAGGATTCATCTTCACAAACGTCTATAAATTGACTCCATCTCCCTTTAAATTGGTAAGGCAACGCCTTCGTTGTGTAAATAGGCAACAACCGCTACATGCGGGTCAAAAAAAGGAGGCTCATATTGTAATGTCGCCTTTTGACACACCTAGTGGGTAGGCAAGGTGTTTTGTTGATGCCTCACGCCTAGGCCCGCCTTGGCGCTGCCTTTTGGCGCCTTTTAGAACACTGTGTACAAGTACATAATAATGTCGAGAGTGCAGTTACGAGGGCAAAGAGATAACCAAAGATGGCTGAGGTGTTCAAGTCACCATTCATTACACGAGCAATAGATCCTCTTAAAATGTGCACATCATTGGAGAGAAGCTTAATGAAATGGATGTTAGACAGTGAAAATGTGGAAGGTAAATTGAAATTATTCATATTGACAACATAATGTGCATAAATAATAAATATTTTGTGTGCATGTGTAGGGAGGAAATACTTTTTAAATATGATGAGTTTGCTGTTACAAGAGCAGAGATGCTGTCGTTGCATGAAAACCAACATATAAGCGCATATGTATTGGATGCATGGTCCACAATGCTTAATGCTAGGGAAAATTTGAGGAGCAGTCATTCACTGTGCCGAATGTTTGCAAGAGCTTATGATTGCGTATGTTATAGTAGAAAGAATAATTTGAAAGTTGTAATATTGAAGTGTGGTTTAATTCTTACTGTGATGTGCAGGTGCATAGCTGGGTGGGTGAATTAACACCTAAGAAAGACCGACCTGTTATTTTGAATGATGCGGTAGAGTTTGCATTGGCAGGATTTCCGGATAATATAAGCATAGAGCATGTGGAGTTGGTAAGTATGAATAATGATAACGTTGTCATGTGATTCGTGTTATATGTGATGTAGGCGTGGACTCGGGTCGGGTCGGGCCCGGGCCGGGCCTAGGCTCGGTCGGTCCGCCGGTTTGTATGACATGGGCCCGGGACCGGCCCGAGGGTTGGACGGGTCCGGTTTGGGCCGGGCCACCCGCCTGGGTCACAGGTCGGGCCACCCGCTGGGTCGGGCCGGGCCGGTTAAAGTTTTTTTTTATAATTTATATTTTATAGTTTATAGTTTTATACAAGTATTAAAAACAAACTTCAAGTGCATTTATTTGAAATGAAATAGGAACTACATTTGAAAATTAAAACAAACTTTAAGAGACAAGCATTTTGAAAATTGTAATCAATCGGAACTTCCCGCACCTCCCGATCCTTTGGCTTTGTCACATGACTTCATATGCTTCATTGCCATCCCGTATCCGCCTGAAACCCCCATGCTACATTTTTTCCCGCACCATTTGCAAGTTGCGTACCACATCCCGGTCTTTGGGTCCTTCTGCTTATCAAAATTATACCGTATAATGGCATCTTGATTTTCCATCTTAACTTCTTAAGTATAAAGTAGATATATAAATAAAAAATATAATATATTGGAGAATAAGAGAATTAGAGAGTAGAGAGTTAAGAATAGGTGATGGAGTCTATGGCCCGGGAACCCCCGGGCCACAGACTCCTACTACTCTAATAAAGGCCCAACAGGCCCAGAAAGCACAACAGGCCCAAATCACAGTGCCCAGAGTACCAAACAGCCCACAATATGCACCAGGGGTGCCTTCGGCCTCCTGGCCGAAGGCTCCAATTCTCACAGGAGGGCCAAGACAGGAAAACAAGGTTACTGGGAAAAACGGCGAAAATCAGTAGCCCTCGGCAACTGGAGCCCTCGGCACTAAGGGGGTCCCCGGTACTCAGATCCCTCGGCTAGTCATCTACAGCCGAGGGCACCTTTTCCGACATAATATCCGCTCCACATGCGTATGGATCACCGTACCCTGTACAACGTCCCATCCAACAGCCGCATTAAATGCGGCCACATGCGGTTGCCAGCGCCAACCAGTTGAGGTGACCTCTCGGCCAATAGACGCTTGACACGTGTCCCTGTCTGGCATTTATTGCTACTATAAATAGCACCCCATTTCCCCATTTGTAACCACTCTGAAAACGCTGAACACTTTCTAATATACTTTCTCTCTCTATACTTACTTGCTCTGACTTTTCTCTAGTTATTCTCCGTAATAACCCCTCGGATAAGCTACCCCCCGGGTACACTATCCATCATTTGGTGCTCTCGTTGAGAGCTCGAACAATCAAGTAAGAAACCCTCCCCCTCGACCAAACACAAAAACACCCATCTAAAATGGTGAGAACAACTGGTGCCAACTCCAAGAATGTAGAGGACAGGAACCTGGCCCTCGGCGAGGTCGACGTCCCCGAAGCCTCCAACAGGGCTCCCGGGGGCGGCGTCATCGCCGGGTTGGACCAGACGGTTGTCGACCCACGCCAGCAGATTCAACATAATGCCCCCGATGCCCGCCTCGGCATCGAGGCCAAGAAAAAGGACCGGAGTGAAAATCAAATTAGCCCTCCGGTCATCACCATCGACGTTCAATCGGCGCTTTCCGCCTTCATCCAGACGCTCACTCAGAACCCGGGTGCCTTCGGCACTTTGGTTCCCCACCAACCTCAGGTCGGGGAGAATATTATGCCTCCCCCTCATCCACGACCCCTCGGTAACCCGGTCTTCCGGATGGGGAACTCCGAGGGGGTCGTGGCCCAAGATACAGCCTCCCAGGAAGTCCAGTCCCGGGACCGCCACAACGTGAACAAGGAACAACTCCGGACCTCCGCCCTCGAGAGACTCGGAGGGGCGCAAGACCGCTGAGGGGTCCAAGACCGCCTCGGGCGGAAGGCGGTCCAAAGGCCTCAGGAAAGTGGTGGGTCCGTCTCCAGGGCCAATGAAAGGCGTCCCCATCAGGACAAGGGCAAGGCACCTCTCCATGCCGACGACGCACGCCACCAAATCAATCAGGCCCACTCGGCCCGGGTCCATTCGCAGGGGGCGGAGGCCCCCCCGAAGGACCCCCGGGACGAAATCATTGCGGCCCTCCAGCGCCGGCTTGACGAGATGGAGGCCACCAAAGCCCATGCCACCGCTTCTGCCCCTCACACAGACCTCAAGTATGAGGCGATGATGGCCAAGATGGAAGAAATGCAGAAGAAGATAGCCGAGGGCTCCGGGGAACCAACCATAAAGCTCCGGACCCGGACGCCATTTACCCCGAGGGTATTGGCGGCCCGGATCCCGGGAAAATACCGAGGACAGCTCATCAAGCCCTATGACGGAAAGACTGACCCCCAAGAGCACTACAGCAGGTATCAAAACAGCATGATGATGGTGGGGGCATCGGATGAATATTTGTGCCGCTGGTTCCTCTCCACCCTAGAGGGGCCAGCTTACGAATTGTTCAATCGATTTCCCGAGGGCTGCATTGACTCATGGCAAGAACTCGCCCAGCGATTCTTGACGCAATTTGCGGGGAGGCGCCGCACAAGGAAACACTTCTCCCACTTGCTAACAGTGAGGAAGAAGAAGGAGGAGACCCTTCGGGACTTCCTGGAGCGCTGGAGGACGGAGGCGGATAAAGTTGACGGCGCTGACGACGGGACCCTCCTGGCACTCCTACAAACAGTACTCCGCCCCGGGAACTTCTCCAGAAGCCTCATCATTGAACCCCCCCGCGATTATATAAGGGCCCTACAGCGGGGGACCAGTACGCCGAGGCCGAGGAGGTGGAGAAATGCCACCATGTCCCAGATCAGCAACGCCCTCGGCCAGACGACAAAGGTAACCGGGGGCCGGGGGCTCCCCACAATCATCCCAAGGATTCTGCCCCCTCCGGTGATCGCCCCCGGCATGGCCAAGTCAAGCCCGGGGGAGGCTACAAGGGGAACCCGAGGGCTTGGGCACAGCCTGTCCTCCTGGAGCACCCTCGGACACCATTGACGCACCACGTCAGCGTCATCCTGCATTTTGCTGAGGAGAGGGGCCTCGTAGAGCGAGATTCACGCGCGCCCTCGGAAGTATTTGCCATCAATCCAAACTACCCCTACTGTCGTTTCCACCGACACCAGGGGCACAGGACCGATGATTGCCATCAGCTGAAGACGGCCATCGAGAGATTAATACAAGCTGGCCATCTGTCCCAGTTTGTCCAGGGCCCTCACCAACAAGGGCCCCCTCATCAGGGGCCACCCCGAGGGTAAACTGCGAGAGCAAATGCATGGGTCAACCCCAACACCATCTCCCTCGGCAAGAAGAGGGAGATTGGAAATCTGGAGGAAGAGGAGGAGTACCCCCGGTACCAAGAAAAGAAACGCCACATCCTCATGATTACGGGGGGAAATACCAAGGGTGACTCTACGAGTCAGCGAAAGAAGTGGGCACAATCACTTTACGTGGGGGAAGTCACTCATATGCCCCCAGCAAAGCGGCTGAGGGAGGAACCCATTATCTTCACGAATGCTGATCTCCCCCCGGTATCCTCCCCACATAGGGATGCCCTCGTCATCCGGACGGAAATAAATGACACCATTATTCACAGAACCTACATTGACACGGGCAGCTCCGTCAATTTAATGTACCTCAGCACCTTCAGAGAGCTGCATCTGGAGAGGGGGTCCCTTCAGCCCATAAGGACCCCTCTTGCCGGCTTCACCGGCGACACCATTGATTCCGAGGGGGTCATAACCCTCCCGGTAATCTTCGGCGACGGCCTCCATAGAGCCAAGCTCGAAGTGGAGTTCGTCGTCGTCAACATCGACTGCGCCCACAACATCATCCTCGGCCGGCAAGCCCTCGAGGATCTCGAAGCCGTCATCTCCATGAGGCACCTCTGCCTCAAGTTCCCAACCGAAGGGGGGATCGGTTACTCAAGGGGAAACCAAAAGCTTGCCCGCGCTTGCTACCTTCAAGTTACAAAGAAGGCTAGCAAGACGGAGTTCCGCGTTGACACCATCACCGGAACTGTGGAAGCGGAAGAAATGAGGCCGAGGGCTGAACCAGTCGAGGAAGTAGAAGACTTCGCGCTCGATCCGGCCAAGCCGGAGAGAGTCGTGAAGATTGGAGCCAAGCTCCCCGAAGATTTGAAGACCGGCATCATCAGCGCCCTCCGCGCCTACTCCATTGTTTTTGCATGGGGGGCGGAGGACATGCCGGGGATCAACCGAAGGGTCATCACCCACCGCCTCTCAGTGGACCCTTCGGCCAAACCAGTACAGCAGCGGAGGAGACCCCTCTCGGCCGAGAGGAGGGAATTCGTGAAGAAGGAGGTCGCCATGCTCCTCTCTATCAGGCACATCAAGGAGGTAAAATACCCCTCATGGCTGGAAAACGTGGTCCTCGCACAGAAACCCTCCTCATTCCGCATGTGCGTGGACTACACGGATCTCAACAAGGCGTGTCCCATGGACCCTTTTCCTTTGCCAAATATTGATCAACTTGTGGATGAAACCGCGGGGTGTGTAATCATGTCATTCCTCGACGCATTCCGCGGATATCATCTAATATACATGCATGAGGAAGATGCTGAAAAAACTGCCTTCATGACTCCCGAGGGCATCTTCTGCTACCTCGTCATGGCCTTCGGCCTAAAGAACTCGGGTGCCACCTACACTCGAATGGTGGCCAGGGTATTCCAAGTTGTCCTAGGGCGCACCATGGAGGCGTATGTTGACGACATGATCGTCAAGAGCAAGCAATCAGCAAGCCAGGCTGATGACCTGAGGGAGATCTTCGCCATCATGCAGAAGTTTAGCCTTCGGCTGAACCCAAAGAAGTGCACCTTCGGCGTCCAGGGGGGGCAAATTCTTGGGCTACATGGTGAGCCGAAGGGGTATCGAGGCCAACCCCGAGAAAATCCAGGCCATCATCAACATGGAGTCCCCACGCAACGTAAAGGAGGTCCAACGATTGAC